TGAATTTTGTCCCTCAAAAAGAGACATAAGTGATCTGTGAAATTTTATATGCTAAATACTTTAGGGACCCATCATTAATTGCATGTAGTTATAAATCTACTGTAGAATCATTTTTACAATAAATTTAAATTAATTATATTATTTTATTAACTTTTTATCAAGGGAAATCTATAATCTCCTTTTTTTTTTAAAAAAAAAAGAAAGAATACGTCTATGCAATTGTGAAAATAAATTAGAATCAAAGTAGTGTGATGTTACATGAATTCAGATTAATCGCTTTTTTGACAATGTGTATGAATAAAATTTTAGATATAAAACATAAAGTCAACCACCATTTCCTTAAGTTTAGCAGCGCCTCCATGTCACTAATGCTTGCAACTAGTTCTTCGCAATGGTCCTATCTAATACTGTTCCGCACGTAGAACAGAGTATACGCAGCACATGTCTAGTGTAATTCGCGCAAAGAAGATTAAAGGACCGAAGCTAGAACAGTTTTACAAAAAAAATAGAAGAATAATAAATACCTTAACGCTTTGTACGTTGCATAAGGAAACACGACTATCATCATAATTATGCCATTCGCGTCTATACCCATTTCGTATATACGAAGTGTAATGCCCACCGTCTAAGCCACCATAGTGATTTGAAACTGCATACAAGTCATATACGTACGGACCGATTTGTTGCAAGCCATTATCTAATCCACCAGTGCCGGGAAAATATTTTCTCCATCGATATCTGCTACTAGCAGGGGTAGGCTGCGGTATCGGAGGTAGAACATAAGCGGTTAAGTTCAAATTCCATATAGGAAAATCTACCATCATCTCGAGTTTATCCCTGAAAGGTCCATTGAATGAAAATCTTTTAAGATGTATTAATAAGACATCAGGCAAACGAGAAATGGAGAGTTGCTTAGAGGCACGTCTACGAGAATTACAATTGGGGCAGTGCCAAGAATTGTCACCATCCAAGATCTCTTCTTTGACAAAATGTTTTAGGCACATTTCCAAATCAACACGCTTTCCACGTTTTGCGGGAATGGGTAATGATAGACACATGAAAGCGTTGTAGCTGGTGGAAGTCCTCTTGCACGTTAAACACATTAATCGACTACGCAATTGACCTTGGAACAAGCTAACCACCACAGAACTGTTTCGCGTCAAATGTTTCTCCCATTCTATTTCAGAAGCAATCTGAGGTGGCAATGATTCCATTTCTTGTTCTTCCCTTTCTGTTAGCTCTTTAATTATCGGTTTTTCCTTGATCACATTCAGGTCTTCATGCAGACCATCCAATATGAACGCAAGAAATTCCTGCGAATCATGTTGGTCTGAACCAGAAAATTGCGGGGCAAAATGACTAATAGCTTCTTTTAATGACGCAGGAGAAACAAACGTGTATGCACCGCTCCACATTAATCTAATTAAAGCTGCAAATGTTTCAGCCAAAACACCTTTTGTACCCAAGGGATTGACCTTATTTATATGTCGTTTGTAACTACCATCCAAGAAGTATCTGGAGAATGGAATAGTACCACTCAAACATTGAATGATGGAGTTCATAAAACAAGTATTTCCTAGATTCTTTAAACCAGTTATACCAATTCCAGATTCTAATCGTGAAAAAATACTCTCGGAAATAGGGAAATGACGGTGTTGTGGCACGATAGCCGAATCTGAATTATATCGTACGGCCATCTGCGTATTAATGTTGCTAGACTGATGAAGTACCGGCATTGCGTTAGTTGTGGCATCCTTTTTACTAATTCCTTCGCTTTTGGGACTTGCAATAGACGCTGAAGATTCTGATGACAATTTTTTTAGTGGTGACAGCTGCCGTGACCTCATGAAACGCTTAGGTAATGACGCTGCATATTCGGGATTTTTTACCTCGCTAAAACCGTAGTATGGGTGATCAAAGATGGTTCGGCGACGTTGTAAGGAAAAACCCGAACGCGTATTTTTTGGTTCATTGTCATTCAATGGCTTGTTCAATATCGGTGCATTTGATGGGACATCTGGCGCATCTGATGGCATGTTCGGTGCATTCGGCACGTTCGATAATGACGATGGTATCATTGGCAAATATTGTGAAGACTTCAATGGTAATGATGTGGGCGAAGGCCGAAAAGATTTAAATCTTTCGGACGTATCTGGAAGAAAGCTAACCGGCTTTCGCGTTATATTCGAAAAATCATCGAAATCATCATAGTTATGGTGTGGAGTGTTGATTGTTTGGTTTGTTGAGTAATTCTCTCCTGTCATATATTGCGTCTGCAAATCGTTAGGCTGTGTGTACTAATAAAATGATAATCATTAAATTCGCATAAATCCAATGAATAATCATGTTCGAAATTAAACGTGACTCACAAAATCCATATAGCTTTGCCTATGGATCGCTTTTCTAAGATCAACCGTGTCGCCACGAGCCTGTTCACCGAAACTTTCTTTCTTTGGAGGAGAGGATGAAAAAGGCCTAAATGAAATACGATTATGCTTTGATAAAACTGGTTAATTAAAGATTTACCAAATTAATTATGAATACCTCGGGTCACCGAAAGAATCCAGCCAATTTAGACTTTCATCTAAAATTATAAGTCCATTTCGCTTTGATTTATCTCTTGAATCTTTTCTACCATCTTGTGTGTCACTATGTTCACTTTCTTCGTCCTTTTCACTACAAACATTGCGCTCAACCCAAGATTCACCCATTAGATGAAGCCAAGATTTAAACCCACCACTCAATAGTACGGGATTTCTGGTTAACTGTTTTTTATATTCAGTTTCATAGATACATTTGAATAAATTCTTCATTACATTCTTTTCATCATGAACCGAATCAGAATCTTGATCATGGTATACAACTAAATCGAATGTATGTCGGCTAAAAAAGGATTCCATTTCATGCTCGGGGTAAAGTAGCAATTCTTTTTCGATGTCCGTCGATGACACTATCGTAGAAAGTAATGTCAATGAATTTTTCGTAAAACTAGAATAAAAAATATAATTTACCCTTCCGTTAAAAGTGATGGCTCCAAGCAAACGATATTCTTCGTCTTGATATGACCTTTTTCAAATTCAGCTCTGGGCCTGACGTCCAGCACTAGAATTCTTAAAGATCCTTCGGTTGCATTCAAAAATTCGTGCAATTGTGAGGCTTGTATTAATTCAGAATAAGGCAAATCTTTCAATGGTAATTTTTTTTGTGTTGATGGCATACATGGCATATGACCAAGTGATGACGAAAGTTCACCACTCTTTATCCCTTCGGTGGTCCTAAGTGGCATTATACCGATATTTGGAACAGAAGTCAATGACAATGCCTTATTATTGATCAAACTCCTAACCAGGTAACCTGGAGAGGGGGGTACCGCCGAACGTGGTGGAATTCGAATTGGATATGAATGTGAAGTTTGATAAGATTTTGACATTGGAATGTATTCCGTTTGATCCATTTCATCCTTTCTTACTTGCGATATTTTTCCCGCATTCTCGTTCAAAGCGAGTTCCTGTATAACATAGCTCAAATAAGAAAGCAAATTAGCCTAAAGTAATCTGTTAACAAACTCACCTCTCTTTCGAAGATTTCATTCATATCAAAAAGGAATCATTTGCTATTACTATTTAAAAGATTTCAACTAGATAACCGACCGTTACACCGCGACGACAATCCACTGTCAATAATATATGCGTCTGCACAAGATTATCGACATTAATTAAAACAACAAAGTGATAATTTAACAAAGGTGCGCGCACATTATTTAATTACTAACTGGGAAATTCAAATATCCTAAAAGGCGCAAAAAGCCGAGGTTTGTTTTTTTATATGTTCATACACTTTCCTGAATGTGTATGGTTGGGACAATAATGAGAAATTATTAAATATGCATTTAGAATTAATATATGCTCTATTTGGAAAGACATCGATCGACTGTGTTATTATGTTAATATAGTACAAATTGGAAATTTGGTTTTTTTTTGACAGTGACTTTAATCCGCGATCATGCCACACTGATCCACTTTTTATATACAGTATATTACCAGTTAAAGAATTAAATTATTTTAATTTAAATAACAATGTTTTGCTTCTCTTAGAATATTGTACTTGATTATTTTTTTAATTTTAATTTTAATTCTCTATCAAATTAACCATGTATGCTTTATTAAACAATTTGTAAGTTATATATATGAGTAATTATTTTTGAAAGTATTAAAAAAATTTTCAGTGACCTTTTTTTGGATACATAATTTTTAATGTTCTTTTTTATATTCCTTTTTATATTTAGTAATCATTAATTTTTGATTATTAATTATTAATCCTTGATTATTAATCTTAATTATTTAATTAATCAATTAATAATTACTCTAATCAAGATATTAATCAATTAATAATCACTTTAATCAAGATATTAATTAATTAATAATCACTTTGATCAAGATATTAATCAATTAATAATTATTTTAATTAAGATATTAATTAACTAATTTTTATATAAATAGAAAAAATTTTTAAAAATCTTCTTTACTTTTTTTTATAATACCTTCTATAAATCTTAAAAAAAAACTTTGTTCTTTATTAAATAAACATAATCCTTATCCATTATCTTTTAACTTATATTCTTTATCACAGAAAAGTCTTATAACTTCTACTATATATGATATTGTTTCACAATTATCTGATAATAATCAGATCAATTTTATAATTATTTTTCAAATGATTCTTATATTGGAAAATCTTTTTTTCCTAATATACAAAATGCATTAAAAACTAAATAAGTTTTTAATAATATTAAAATCATGCATATTTCTATTTCTACTGAATATAAAGTTAATATTTTATTATTAATTGTTAGTTTATATAATAGATCAGAATTAAAAAATCCTGATTTTAATTTTAATAATAAACAATTTACTATTGTTCTTAAAAAAATTGATAATCAAATATTTAATTTATTGAATCATCATAAAACTATTCCTTCTTTCAAATTAAAAATTAATAAAAAAACATTTGAATTAATTATTAAATTTTTTTTACAAGATTCTAGACTTTTAACTTCTACATGTTCTTCTATTAAACTTTCTTATTCCTTAGAAATACTACCATCAATTATAATTCATCAATAATTTATTATTTAGAAAAATTCAAAAAAAACAATTTATAATGAATTAAAAACTCAATATTCAAATTTAAAATTGAATTTGAGCAAATTTTATAAACTTTGTTCTCAAAATTTCAAAAAAGTACAAAAAAAAGACTAATATATGTCCAATTTGTGTTAAAGAGTAAAAATTAAAAATTAAATTACAACAAATTAATTCAAATAATAGAAAAAATAATTCTATTATTAATCAATTATAAACTGAAATTGATTTTTATAAAAATCATCTTTATTTTAAAACTCAACAACAAAAGTTATATAAAAATTTTCTTGAATTAACAACATCTATATCATGTATTGTTGTTATAGATTTTAAAGAGAATTTTAAAATTTGTGGTGGTCCAATTGAAACAGGAAAAAATTTTTATAAAAA